TCCTAGAGAAGCTAAATAAGAAGGAGAACCCAAAGAAAAACATATAGGCATCCTCCTGAATATTATTAACCTTCATCAGGTGATGAAAGGAGACAGAGACAGAGACCCACATTGGAGCACCGGACTGAAATCTCAAGGTCCAAATCAGGAGCAGAAGAAGAGAGAGCACGAGCAAGGAATTTAGGACCGCGAGGGGTGCACGCACACACTAAGACTATGGGGATGTTCTATTGGGAATTCACCAAGGCCAGCTGGCCTTGGTCTGAAAAATCTTGGGATAAAACCGGACACGCTGAGCATAGTGGACAATGAAGACTACTGATAACTCAAGAACAATGGCAATGGGATTTTGATCCTACTGCACGCATTGGCTTTGTGGGAGCCTAGGCAGTTTGTATGCTCACCTTACTAGACCTGGATGGAGGAGGGTGGTCCTTGGACTTCCCACAGGGCAGGGAACCCTGACTGCTCATCAGGCTGACAAGGGAGGGGGAGGGAAATGGGAGGTGGTGGCGGGGAGGAGGCAGAAATCTATAATAAATAAATTAATTAATAAAAAAAGAAAAGAGACAAAAAAAGAAAAAAGAAGTATTGACGGTATTGAACCCTCCACTAGGATGACAATGGTTTTACCCTGTAAAAATTTGTTTCTTGTACTTGTTTAATAAAATGCTAATTGGCAAGTAACCAGGCAGGAAGTAGAGGCGGGGAAATGAGAACAGGAGAATTCTGGGAAGAGGGAAAATTCAGTTGGTATTTGTCACACAGCCAAATACCAACAAGGAAGGAAGATAAGAATGCCTTGCTGAAAAAGGTGCCAACCCACATGGCTAACATAGACAATAATAATGGGCTAATTTAAGATGTAAGAAAGAGTTAATAAGCCTGAGTTTATTAATCATAAACTGAGCCAATCAGTTTATGATTAATATAAAGCTCTGTGTATTTCTTTGGGACTGAATGGCTGCAGGACCGGGGAGAAGGGGACAGAAACCTCTGCCAACACTACACTCCACTTCCCTCATTTGCACCAAAACACGAAGTGCCAGTGGCCTTCAGAGGATACTTTGCATATCTGAGTAAACTGTCTTCTAGGCCAAAAGTGAAAGGAAGAGACTGGAGCCATTTTGTCTTTGCTACAGACTCTATGGATCTCAGTACCCAATGCCTTGTGGACTATATAAGAAAACTGACTTCTCTATAATCCATTCAGTTTTTTTTTTCTGTCAAAGTAGAACTTGCGTATTACAAAATTTATCCTTTTGAAAATATGCAGTTAGTGCTGAAGAGCTGCCTCAGCGATTGAGAGCACTTGCTTTTCTTTCTTTCCAAGGATCCAGGCTTGGTTGCCAGCATCCATATACTACCTGTAGATCCATTTTATTGGATTCTGACTCCCTCTTCTGCCCCATCCAAACTCCTGAATAAATGGGCACACACAGGTATACATAAATAAAAGTAAAGAAAGAAACTTCCCTATGGTACTAAATTATAGAACAAAGAAAGTATATAATTGAGTAATTTGTAGTATGTTTCAACTATCTTAACTCACTAGACTATGTATATATTCAATAGCTATATAGTTCCAAGATTTGCAATATAACTGAGACCACTAATTCCAAACGCAGTTGATGTTAATACATTCTTATTGCTGTTAGTAAAGAAGTATTGTTTAGTCACAATTTTTTAGCCATTGAAAAGGAAATACAACAAAGAGCCGTGCTGTACAGAGATGAGCAATATGCAATAGACCTTAGCATGGATTCTGCAGAGCTTCCTGCAGGCACAGGTGCCTAGGTGCAGCAAGTCTGCTGTCACCAGCATCAGCAGCATTGCTTCCTGATATTGCTAAGATTCTCAGAGTATCTTTCTTGGCCCTTTCCTCTTGCTATACCAAAACAGCTGAGTAATTTATAAAGATAAGAGGGAGTTTGTTTCATTTATTTGTTTTGTTTTAAATCACAGTTCTGGAAGTCAGCTTTCACTTTTCTAGCATTTATTTGGCATCTGCTAAGGGTCTATTGTACAAAATGGGAAAACAGGGGCTAGAGCAAGACCAGCAAAATGGTCACAGTGAAAGTAACAGGAGGGGACCCTTACCTTCTAATAGTCTGGTCTCAAGGTTACCTGAGACCTGGCATTAATTTATTCATGAGAACTCTCCCATCACTGCCACATTGGAGATTTAGGCCTCAGTATGAACTTGGTATAGAAACCCCTCTTTTTTTTGTTTTGTTTTTTGTTTTTGTTTTTTTTATTATTTTTATTTATTAAATATTTCTGTCTCTTCCCCACCTCCGCCACCCCTTTCCCTCCCCCTCCCCCAATCAAGTCCCCCTCCCTCGTCAGCCCAAAGAGCAATCAGGGCTCTCCGTCCTGTGGGAAGTCCAAGGAAAACCCTCCTCCGTCCTGGTCTCGTAAGGTGAGCATCCAAACAGCCTAGGCTCCCACAAAGCCAATACATGCAATAGGATCAAAAACCCATTGCCATTGTTCTTGATGTCTCTGTAGTCCTCATTGTCCGCTATGTTCAGTGAGACCTGTTTTAACCCAGGCTTTTTCAGACCCAGGCCAGCTGGCCTTGGTGAGTTCCCAATAGAGCATCTCCATTGTCTCAGTGTGTGGGTGCACCCCTCGCTGTCCTGAGTTCCTTGCTCGTGCTCTCTCTCCTTCTGCTCCTGATTTGGACCTTGAGATTTCAGTCCGGTGCTCCAATGTGGGTCTCTGTCTCTGTCTCCTTTCATCGCCTGATGAAGGTTAATATTCAGGAGGATGCCTATATGTAGAAACCCCTCTTTAAGCCATAGCAGAGTTAGTGAACAAAGGAATGTGCCTGCCAGGACTTGTTGGCTTACCCACCTATGCTTTGAAGCGTTCTCCTAACATTCCAGTTGTCTTCTGCTTCCTTACTTAACTGTTGGATGCAGCCTGTAGTCCTGTTTCCCAACTGCCACTTGCTGCCTACAATAAGAGACAGAAGCCTTCCTCCCTGGCCCCAGTATCATGGAACAGCTAGCTCTGACTTGTACTTACCTTCTCATGGTTGGCCCGGTTTTCCAGTTTTCAATATGTGTTGATGTGATTGCCCCTGGGATTGATGAGGCAAATATTGCAGTGTCTAGAGCAAAGACATTTGGCCTATCCCTGGGAGCAAGGGGAGGGTAGGGATCACTGGCCACAGAACAAGGATGGATGTTTCTGCAGTGCATCATTGCACTTTGTGGCAGAGCTTTAGGGAGACATAACTCTGTCCCCACAGTGATTAGCACCAGGGACAATAGGAGAACCACTAGAATGGCTCTAGATTCCAAGTATCTCCCCTAAACATTTGATCTGAGAAACTAGACTAAATGGGTCATTGACTGTTAAACATACAGGTATTTGGGATGTCTTAGAGCTAGAAAAACACAAAGAGAAAATCTGATGCTTACCAGTTGCATTTGTGTTTTTTAGTATACATTTAATTCTCCATAAACCCCTTTTTCTTATTTAATTTGTACCTTGTTCATTCCTGTATTTCTCCCACGGTTTTATGGGGTGCTGGTAGCTACTATCTGAGACTTTCCTTTAAGAGTCAACTCTAGTTGCCTTGGCTTTTATTGAATTCTCTGTGGCTGTAGATAGCCCTGTCTCTTGACCTTCCCCTCTGTGGTTAACTGCTCATGCTACTGTGTTTCAGTCATGGGGCCTTCCTGGTGATGTGGGAGTGTCATATATCAATCTGTTGATTTCGTTGGTTAATTAATTAAAGAAACTGCTTGCCCTGATAGGTTAAAACATAGGTGGGAGGAGTAAACAGGAGGAAGATGGGAGGAGTAAACAGAATGGAATGCTGGGAGGAAGAGGAAGTGAAGTCAGACTCTGCTCTGCTCTGCTCCCGGAGAGACCCGACAGCTCTGCTCTCTGGAGCAGAGACGCCATGCTCAGCTCTCCCAGGTAGACTCGACAGCTCTGCTCTCTGGAGCAGAGACGCCAGGCTCTGCTCTCCCAGGCAGCTCCGACCCAGGATGGACATAGGCTAGAATCTTCCTGGTAAGTGCACCTTGGGGTGCTTACACAGATTATTAAAAATGGGCTAGTCCAGGTGCGAGAGTTAGCCGAGAAAAGGCTGGATATAATGGGCAAGCAGTGTTTAAAAGAATACAGTTTGTGTGTTGTTATTTCGGGCATAAGCTAGCCAGGTGGCTGGGGTGCTGGGGACGCAGCCCCGCCGCTCCTATTTCAACATCCTGGCACCTTTTTAGCCCCCTTCCTTCTGGTAGACTGAGGAGACACAAAAGAGCAGAGCTCTTCAGGCTTTGATGTTGGCCTCTCAGGTTTTCATCTGGGACTTATCTTTGTAATGAGCATTCATTTGGTTGGGACCACTGGCATGGTACTCTCAAAAAGCATCTCCACCTACCTGTCATGGGCCACCTCAAGTAGTCGAAGAGGGACATTGCCCTCCCTCTCTCCATTTTCACTGACCTGCTAGTGAAATATCTATGTCTTGCATTAGCAACCATCTTTAGCACTGAACTTGACTCATACTTAGCTTGCCTCCACTGTCAAGTATCAGAGGCCCTTCACCTCCTCCTGCGTGTGGCAAACAGGCTCCCTTCTGCCTCCTTTTCCAATCTGGAATTGTTAATGATCTCCTCTTGGGGCCCTCTTCTTGTGTAGAACACAAATCAGGGGGGACCAGATAAGGAACCAGGAAGGAAGATTAACACCTTGGCCCTTAGCAATCTTTCTTAACTTATGGCCATTTGTACCAGTTCTACATTTCAAATTGTCTTCTATGCCTCTCTCCAACTGTGACTTTTGCCAAGCTACTTAACCTCTCTGATCCACAGAGATTTCTGTAATTTATAAAGACTAGCCTTTTGCAATTGCTGGAAAGATGAGATGGTGTCTTCTTTGGTCCTCTTGTCAGATACCTCACTGTACCTCATGTCTTCCTGCAGAGGTGTGTCTACAGATAGTCATGTACTTATTTAATGTGCCGCTTGCTCTGGAATACTAATAGACTGAACTAGGTGCATCTTTTTTCATGCCCTTTTCCCCAGCCTGTGTCATGTCTGTCACATGCTAATGTTCACTTAGTGAGACTGATAGACATATGAAAAACGCCATAAAATAGAGACACAAGAGAGTGGTTTCCCTTTCCTGATGCTCAAGTCTCCGTATACTGTGGGGCTTATGTGTATGTAAACATACTTTAAGCCTTCTCTAGATTACTTATGATTCCTAATGTAATGCCATGTAAAGAGTTGTTATTTGTATCATTGAGGAATGATAACAAGAAAAACTTACACAATATAGAGGCAGACCTAACTGCACAGCACAGGAACAAGATTACAAGCCAAACAATGCCAAGACAGTGAGACAGAGAGAGATCAGGATCTGTGAAGTGGTGGGAAGCCACAGCAGGATGTACTGCACACCAGACTTTATCCACTTGGATTCAGCAATGCTCAGTTTACAACAATTTCAAGCTTTACTTTTTAGAACTTTCTGTAATTTTATTTTTAGAATACTTTTGATCCACAATTGGTTAAATCTTTGTGAATATGAAGGATGATTGTAGTTTATTTTCTCTGTGGACTCTGTACATCACCTCATGGTTCTGTTTCCCTCTTTGGGTTGGCAGTCAAAGGGCTCAGAACTCAATTTGTGGCATTAGCAAGTGTCACAGCATGAAACCCAGGTACTAATATCACTGTGGCTTCTGTTGTTCCTGTGGCAGCTTTTTCTTTTCTTTTTTCTTTCTTTTCTGTTCTTTCCTCTTTTTTTTCTGAGACAGGGTTTCTCTTTGTAGCCCTGGCTGTCCTGGAACTCATTCTGTAGACCAGACTGACCTTACTCACAGAGATCTGCCTGCCTCTGCCTCCTGAGTGCTGGGATTAAAGTATTTCTTTTCTTAAGTTGGAGACTGTTGAACATATTTGTATAAATTGCTTTAGATAACTGTTTAGAAGAGCATCTGGGCTCAGGAGATTGTTCACTAGGTTAAGTACTTGCCCTGCAAGCATGAAGAGTAGGTCTGGAGTTCAGAGCCCCAGAATCCACATAAATACCCAACAAGCATGGAGGACCATCTTTAATTCCAGCCCCAAGAAGGCAAAAATTGTGGAATCCCTGGGTCAAGCTTGTTGGTCAAACTAGTCCAACTGGCAAACTCTTCTGAAGTAGTGTAACAGACCATAGGCAATAAGGGTTAGGGTGGTATCACTGTTAATAAGTGACTGTGGGTGAATGTCTGAGAATGCCTTCTAAATCTATAAGACAATAGCATCAACTGGATGATCTGAGGATTCCCACGCAGCCCTTGGTGTCTGGTGTGTGCTCGGTATAGGGCTTTGCAGCTGTCTTTGTCCTCCCTACTCTCCACTGTACATGTGAAGAAACAGTTCTGTTTTCTTGTTGCTAACATCTAGAGGAATATTCAAACTTGTATATGATATTTCCCAAAGGGGAGCCAGGCCCAAGCTTGTCACAGGAAAGGTGTGAGAACACTAGGGTGATCTGAGAAGTGGCAGCTTGGGCTCTGTAGGTATTTAGGCAACAGAGGGACAGCACATGCCTGAGAGCTCAGAGACCATTTAGGACTAGATGGTTCTTGTGATAAAAGGGCATTGGAGAAAGGTGAGTAGACAACACCTCAGGCTAGTGTCTGAGAGCAGACTGGAGGAGGTCATTCTTCTTTTTGCCTGTTTCTCTCCTTAGTAATGCTAACGTTTGTCTCCTGAGACATGGTGAGTCTGTGTCTCCTCAGTCTTGTTGGTGTGGTTTGCAACCTCAGGTCTGCTTCTGTTCACCTACCTGACCTCAACTTTCCCCGGCTTTCATGATCCCTCATTGTCATGAGTACTGTAGGAGGTTCTGCCGGGCCTCAGCCTACACTGACTCATGGCACACAGTCAGGTAATGGTGGCTGCCCTTGTCAGTTTTCTGTGCTACCTGGCTCCCATGGTAGGCTATGTTACTTTCAGAAGACCACAGCTGTAGTGATTAATGTTCTTCAATAAGATGAACTATAGTCTGTCTTCTACTCCACTCTCCATTCTTTTGTCCTTTGGCCTTTCTAATAAAGCCAGGCCTTTTGATTTAGAGCAGTATTCAAAACTGTAATGCAAGTTGTATTTATACATTTGTTTCATTGAAAACAAGAAAGAAAAGGGAAGCTTGAGTGAGTGAGGACTCTTTGAGGTCTTTCTTTGCCTTTTAAAAATAACAAATTGAGGGCAGCCTCATGTTCTACCCTTTGCCTGAGAAGAGCATTGGGTATGAAGGCATTGTACCCCTGAGAGCAAAGGTGGGTATGTCACCTGAAAACAATGTGGCTGGCTGAGTAGTTTGTGAGGTTTGGAGGGGACAGCGGGCTTTTCAAATCCCAGTGCTGTCCCAGGCTGCATTCCTTCCTGATAGGTAGGCAGATGT